CTGGTCACTGAGCTGGCTTCCCAGGGGTGTGATGGAGTTGACCAGCGTGGTCAGGTTGATGAAGTGGGCCACCGACTGCGGGTTCGAGGTTTCCGGCTGGGGGTGCAGCTGGAGGTCATTCTGGCGGTTGTGTAACATGGCGGAGCCACTGACAGTGTCAAAGGTCACGGTCAGGATCGAGTTGTCCAGCTGCAGCTGACGTTCCGGGGTGGTTAGGTGCCCAACGGCCACCGGCTGGAGGTTAGTAAACTGAGTTCCGGCTGCCGTGGTGATGGGCGTCACGGTGATGTTGGTCAAGCCAACCGAGCTTGATGGAGTGGTCACGTTCGGGTCCCCCAGAGTCACCACCACCTGGAAGAGCCAACATAAAGCAGTGAATCCCTGAACAGGGGAGGACACAGGTTCCCTCTCCACATGGTGACAGGCGGGTCATCGTGCTGGAATAAGCACAGGCCCAAAGGAGAGAGTGAAGCATCTTTGGGTAAAAGGTTAAATCAAGTTAATATTGTCCTGAAACAATAACTCCGGTGAAAAGGAGGAAAAAAGATACAGACATAGCATAGAGGCCATTAGGTCGAACTGAGAAGCAAATGATTCCACAGGCTAGAAAATAAGGGAGAAAAGTAATAATGAGAAAGACAGATCACTGTATATTCGCCCCCTAAAGGGCCTTGTTGGTGAGCAGTGAAAAGCCCAACTAGGAAGCCAAAAGGGCAGCGAACAAGTCTGCGGGGGCAGCAGCTAACAGGTAACAGGACAGCAGCTTTCTTCCTCGTGCAGAGCGACGGAAGGCCACGGAAACGTGTCCGCGCAGCACCAGACACACTGACGTGAGATTTGGGGGCCTCAAGCCAAAGCGGGGAGGATGAGCAAATGGAAGATTCTATTGCAGGCAGCAGATTGGCTGGCCACCTGCAGCCTCCAACCCGCTGGACGGCTCCTTCGGTTTGCGGGGTCCACTCTCCCTGAGTGGGCAGCAGGTGCACTGGGCCATTTCCACAACGAAGAGACACCCTTAGACACCCCGGTGCCCAACCCGGGGAGCCGGTTCTCCCACCATCCGGGGTGTCCTGCTGCTATTCACAAGGACAAGTGTGATTTCTAGGTCTACACTGGGAAACGCTTCGGGGGCGAGCTTAGGTGAAAAACGGCACCACAGGCGTGACAGACAGGGAGGGGAGCGGGTACATGTGGGCCCGCACCCGCCTCAATCTCCCTCTCTACCTCTACACCCTGGCGCCCAGGGCCGCTGCCCCCCGCACAGTGACTGGGCCCCAGCTCCGGCACAGGAAGCAGCACCTGCTGGATGCTCTGCACGGCAGAGTCGGTCTCGTCGCCCACGGCGCCCGTGAACGTGGGCTCCTTCTCCGAGTACTCGCTGAAGGCTGCGTCCTCCGGCCCCGGGGCCCCTGCCTCCTCCTCCGGCTTCTGCTTCCTCTTGTGACTTCTCCTGGCGGCTTTCACGGGCTTCCCTTCTGCCAACTCTTCCTGCTCCAGGCTCAGCTCAGGCTGCGGGAAAAGAAGTTTCAGCAACTTGCAGGTCAATGGGTCGTGAGCCCAGGTGGCCGTGTGGGCCGGGGACACATCCAGGGTCAGCACTGAGGCTCCCGGGCCTTCAGCTGCCGCAGGAAACACAGTGGCCACAGTCTGATCACTTTATTTCTAAAGATTGAGGCAAGTTTCAGGGTTTTTTGTTAAGTGGAGGAAATTACATACAAGTCCTATTTTAAAAAGCTACATTTTGGGGTGAAATATAAACAAAAACATAAAAAACAGACTTTTAAAGCCACTATTTCAGTCCTGATGAACTCAGCCTGAGGCTGCAAATGTTTTCACATCAGGTTCTCATCCCCAGAATGTCTTGGATCAAAACAGGTTTGACCACAGGAACAAGACGGTCCTCTCCTCGGGGGACAGCCAACAGGCCCCGCCATCACGGCGACCCAGATAGTGCCCCACATGCTTCTCTGGGAGCTGGTGCACCGTGGCCGGTCACTGCGGCCCCTGGGCAGGGCTGTCCAGCCAGGAGCTCCACTCCGGCCCTCCACCCTCCTGGACCTCTGTGGCCACCCCATGAGACTTGGTCCACTCCAGTGGCAGAGAGACCCAGAGGGAACCTGCCAGGCCTGGTCACCGTGGGGCTGCCCTCACAGGGTGGGCATGGGCCTCAGGGGCACTAAGGCGTTCTCACGCTCACTCAGTCCAACCTGGCACCTGAGCACTCTGCTCAAAACACCATTTCAGAAAAAAAAAGAGGTAGAAATATGACTTTAAAATAGCTCAGTGTGTGACATGTTCTCTTTATAATAAAAGAAATTTTTATGAAGGTATTGCCTAAAAACTCCTTTTAACAGTAGGTTCACCTAATACATTTAAAGTGAATTTTTTTTTTTTTAAACGGATTTTTTTTTTTTATATATTTTATTGATTTTTTATACCTAATACATTTAAAGTGAATTTTCTTTTTTTTTTTTTTTAAACGGATTTTTTTTTTTAATATATTTTATTGATTTTTTACAGAGAGGAAAGGAGAGAGCTAGAGAGTCAGAAACATCGATGAGAGAGAAACATCGACCAGCTGCCTCCTGCACACTCCCCACCGGGGATGTGCCCGCAACCAAGGTACATGCCCTTGACCGGAATCGAACCTGGGACCTTTCAGTCCGCAGGCCGACGCTCTATCCACTGAGCCAAACCGGTTTCGGCTAAAGTGAATTTTCGTATGTAACCTAATTATGCTAAGCCTTCCTGGAAACTACCTGTGATGGTTAATTTTAAGTGCCAACTTGGCTGGGCTAGGGGGCCAATTGTGTGGTCAAACACAGTCCAGATGCTGCTGGGAAGGTACTCTTTAGATGACATAAACATTTAAGTCAGGGACACTGAGTAAAGCAGACTGCCCTCTATGTTGTGGGGGCCTCATCCAATCAGGTGAAGGCCCTGGGAGAAAGGCTGAGGGCCCTGGAGGAAAAGGGAATTCTGCCTCCATTGGCCTTCAGGCTCGAGATGCAACATCAACCCTGCCCTGGGTCTCCAGTCTGCCCTCTGCCCTGCAGATTTCAAACCTACCAGCCTCCACGTCACATCAGTGATTCCTTAAAGTTCTAGAAACTTACAGAAAGTAAAAGGCTCTTGGAGAGATGACTGACCAAAAAGATGGGGCATGAAACGAAGGTGAGACACAAAGCATGGACCACGGGGCTTCCCAGAGTGCTCCCGACTGCTGCCTGGGTTCTGGAGGCCCCACCCGAGGGTGTCTGCGTACCTGGAAGTCCCCATACCCCCCCCACCCCCCGCAGGCCGCTCTGTGCTCACCTGCACAATGCCGATGGAGGAGGCGTCAATGGTGGTGGTCTCCGGGAGGTGGTCCAGGTCGTCAATCCTCACGGCCAGGACCTGCAGGAGAGCCGGGGCAGTGAGCCGGGGTGACTGTCCTTCCTCCGTCATGGGCATCATCCATGTGTCCATCAGCACTGAACCTGGAAGTCTGCTTCCAGAATCCCACCCACTCCTGTCCTGCCCTCACGCCATGTGCCCTCACCTCCAGTGTCTGCAATGAACTTGGACATGGAGGGTGCCCCTGGCCTGTCTGGCATCACTTCATGTCCACCCACCTATGCCTGAGGGGGACACTGTCTTTCCTCCCTTTTTTGTCTACTAACGTGCTTTCAGCAAGTGACATTTCAATGAATCGTGTTATTTCATATCAATGTCCCATAAGGAATTACCAAGAACGAGACATTTGTACCTTAAACACTACTTTTCAACCTGCCCCAAGGTGGGTACCTCCACCCCCACCTTCTCTCCGTGAGCCACCCTGCCTGGCCCTGACTGCAGCCCCCACGCCGTGCTCACTCCCTCCCGGGGCCCACACGTCCCTTCCACCAGCTGCGGGTCCTCGTCCATGAGCCTGCCTCTGCCGGTTGCCTCTGGACTGGGGTTACTTAAGCAAATCAAGTCAGATGTGAGACCATGGAACACGCATGCAGAGAGCGAATGCACACTCCAAAAAGGTGTGAGGAAGGCGAGCTACTAACAAAGGGAATTCGCTGTAGAAACACTAGACACGATCAGGGAAACTGTAAAAGCCTGTCTGTGAATGTTCCTCATCCAAACAGCTGGTGACCCCGGCACTGCGGGAGGCCCCACGTTCATTAAAGGCGAGGATTAAAAATGGAGAAACACGTAGAGAAATGACCATAACTTCACCCCCAGGAGAAAACCACTGTGAACTGTTTCCTGCCTTCCTTTCCTCACCCGTCTCCTTTACATGATAAAGGCGAGTATTGCAGACACGCGTACAGCGCGCTGGATGTTGCTGTAGTGCTCACACAGCGCATCCTGCTTCTTTACAATCTTATTTAGAACTCTGTTTATAGAGCCAAGCACATTGTTAACCATCACTAATTTAACCCATCCCCCTGGCTTGACATGGAGGCGTCCGAAGAATCATTCATAAAGCGCTGGAGACATCGCCCCACTGCCTTCCACAGCACAGCCACGCAGGGCCCGCCCGCACGCTCGCTCTGAATCTAAAACCTCCTGGCTCACTCGTGGATGGAGGGGGCCCTGCGCATTAGCGCCTGCGTCTCTGGGATCCGGTGAAGGGGAGTGCTTTTTCCTGGGCTTTAACCAGAGGCAGGTCCTCTCCCGAACTGCCTCTCACGTGCACACTGAATGCTTATCGGCTCTGACAGTGAAGTCGGTGTCTGTGAACGACGGTAACATCTCACACGCACCTGCCAGCTCGCTTGCTCATTAACCACGTCACTTCTAAGTGTCACGTTGCTTACGTAGTCAAGTCTGAGGTTTTTGCTCGTGACACCTTTCGTTGCTCTTCTGCTTAGAGCCTTTCCCTCTGGTGATCTGAGAGCTGGTGGCCTGCATTTCCTCCCGGTTTTGTTCTCCGGTGTGCTTCTTTTTGAAGCACAGAGTTATTAAAGCCCTGGACCTTCCTCTGGAACTGGCTTCCAGATGAGCCAAGTCTTCCTACTGCCACAAGTTCTCCCTCTGGGTCCTCAATGCCACCCTGATCGCCCCCAGCACCACCTGGACACGCCTGCTCTGCACATTTTCTTAGCCACTCAAAGGGAAGAGTGGGGCAAGGGGCAGGCTTGTACTTCCATCTTGTTGTGATTCCAGTGAAAATTAACCTATAACCTGAGCAAATAACAAGCAAGGCCCTTCTCTCTATTCACTCAGTGCCTCCCTCCCACATGCAGGTGCTGCAGTGCAGAGGGAACCTAAGACCCAGGCCCGGCCTCGAGGAATTCCGGGTCTGCAAAGGGAGACAGACCCAAGCCAGGGTGGTGGGGTCTCCGGTCAAAAGAAGCTAGCACCAGGCGGAGGGCAGAGGGACCAGGCCGGTGGGGGTGAGGGGGGGGGCAGGGAGGAGGATGCTCACCTCCGGGTGCTTGCGTCGCATGTGTCTGCTCATGGAGGCCCTGGTGGACACCTTGGTCCCGCACAGCTGGCAGCTCTGTGCCTCGACCTTGTCATGCGTGAGCTGCACGTGCTTCTGCAGCATGTACTCGGTGACGTACTTCTTGTCACACACGGAGCAGGTCCACTGCTTGCCCACTACACACATATACACACACGCGCGCGCACACACACACATACACACACACGGAGGAAAAGACAAGCGCAGGTCATGAGCGAGGTTGTCCCACAGCCTGCAGGGTAGGCAGGAGGGCGCCTCACCCTGTGCATGTGCTGCTGGGCCGCCCCTTGGTCAGGCCAAAGGGACAAGCACAGCCTGAGGTGAGCAGGGCAGTGGCCTCCCTTGCTGAGTGTGGAGCCACATCATTGCTCCAATAATTGAAAATTTAAGAATAGATATTTGAAAGTTGTACTGGGCTGATTTTTAGGAGGCAACGGGCCACCACTGAGGCAGGACGGCACTCAATGCTCTCAAACAGTCTGCAATGCAGGGTCACACAGCCGCCCCCGCCCCAGGCCGTACCCTGCTTACCTGTGTGGATGAGCTTGTGGGTCTCCATGGTGTTTCTCTCACTAAAAGTCTTTCCGCACAGTTCACACATGAAATCTTTGATCCCTGCAGAAAAAGGCACACTTAGCTTCAGTGGTTCGCAGAGCTTCAACCACACGCAGCGGGAGCCCTGTCCCTGACACAGGTCGGAACTTGGGAGAGGCTGCGGGAAGGGAAGTTGCCAGGAGACAGGCACTGAGCTGAGGCTTGGAAACTCTGCCCTCTGCAGGTGGCTCCGCAAGGTGCTTCCTCAGGAAGGCTGGCACCCAGGGGCCCATGGGACTGCCAGTGATTCCCAAAGAGCAGAATCCGACTCAATGAGCTTTATTCTGCATTAGCTCATGACAAGGGAAGGCAGATGCCATGCCTATGACACAGGTGGTTACGTTACCCCAGTGCCCCCACAGGCCATCAGTCGGGGGCGATCATCCTGCTTGCCTGCAACCTGGGGAGCAGGCATCGGGTGAGCAAGACAAGATGTACTCCCCAAACTGGCAAGAATGTGGACCCGAGAAAGCCTCTTAAACAAAGGTTCCTCCAAAATGGAACAAGACAAGTGAGTGAGGGGCCCACCAACTGGGTGCTGTGAGTACATACAGAGCCCCCAGGAGGCACAGGGCCTGGGCTCATCGTGGCTGGAGGAGGGGCCGAAGGGGCAATGGGTGCTGCAGCGAGTGGAGCGCGGAGGCTGGTACAGCAGAGCAGTACTGTGGAACAGTACAGTTTGCAGCACTAGAGGCGGGTCAGGACCCAGTCCTGGGGGAGCAAGAAAGCTTCCCGGCGAAGGTGAGGCAGATAATGGGCGCGCTTCCCAGGAAGACAAGGACAGCACACTGTGCAAGCCCAGTGCGTGGGGACCCAAGCCCACCTGCATGGTGGCCTGGACAGACAGCTGAGGCACACAGGGAAGCTGGGCCAGGCAGTGGCAGGAGCCAAGGCCATCGTAGGGAGGACAGGGCACACGGTAGAGAGGCTCCTGCCAGGAATGTCCGGCTCAGGCAAATCCCATCACCAGGGGCCAGCTCCCTTCTGTTCTGGTGTCCACCTGAACGCCCCCTCACACGCCCACGTCAACCCACAGGCCCATGTTTACAAACAGGGGCTCACGTGTGATATTGCAGAGGCTGCTTTTCCTCCGTAAACTCTATGTAAACTACCGTGAATCTCATCGCTTCTGACGGCTGCATTCTTTTTAATGGCTGCACGACTTAGCCATTGCCCTGCCGACGGACACTTAAGACGTCCCAGGATCTGAGGTCAGCTGTACAACCTCTGGGACCTGCCTGCTCCCTTCCTAGGCACACACTCCCACGGGGAATGGCTGAGCAGGGTGAGGGCCCTGCAGAACTGGCAAGTGTCGCCAAACTCACACGGGCGAGTCTGGCAGCGCCCGGACTCCTGTGCGCATGCGCAGTGACAGGAACCGGGGCGCCTGGGGGACGGGATGGGACGCTTCCCAGATGCCCGCTGCTTCCCCGCACCTCCCAGAGCATAGCTCGCTCGGACCCCGGGCCGCTGGGAGCCAAGGACAGTGTGAAGCAGCCAGTGAGGCACTCTCCGACCGTTTCGGCAGCAGGCCCGGCGGCTGCTCGCACGCCGGCGCCAGCAGGACTCACCGACGTGCCGCTTGTAGTGCTTGAGCATGTTGACCTTCTGTGCGAATTTGCGGTGGCACTCCTTGCACTCGTACTCCTTGATGCCCTTGTGCAGCTTCATGTGGTGGCGCAGCGCGTGCTTGGTCTTCATGCCTGCGGACAGAGACAGGTGGGCTCCCGCCTCGCCCCGC